TGAAAGTTATGGTCACCAGGCATGCCTAAATAATTTTATCAGCTCCACTTACCATGTAGGGGCACTTTGTAGCTCTACAATTACAGACTGTAGTCCATCTGTTTCTCTACATATTTTGCTATTATTCTTGCTATTATTATGCATATTTCCTTCACCCTGTTTTTCAATGGACCCCCTCAGGACTACCACAGAGCAGGTATTATTTGAGTGGTGGACAATTCTCAGCAGTGCAGTAACACTGACATAGTGGTGGCATATTAGCGTGCAATGTGTTACGCTGGTATGAGTGAGTCAAACACAGCAGTGCTGCTGGAGTTCATCAGTGCATGTGTACCATGTGCCTGAGAAGAAATTGTTTGGAAAAACTGTGTTCTGGGTGATTCTTGTTACAGACACGCCTAACATCCCTTCATTCCATGATCTCAGTCCTCTGAAAGGCACACAAACATGGCGGAATGTAGTGGTAAGCACCCAGTGGCACCAGATAATGGACAAAAAGTGTGTTGTTCTTCAAAAACCTTCACAATAAGCAAAGAAATAAAGCAATAGTTAATACTGGAAATACTATTCCTACTATTTCTTTTCCCAATAAAAAAAACCTGTTACTGATTAAGGGGATGAAGTTGGATGCAGAGTTAGTGGTGTTCCCTTTGGAATGATAATGCAGTCAATGTGTTGTAAACTGTTTGACTCAATTGCCAGCTTTGGTAACGCTTTATTTGGAGTGGTCCTTTGTAGATGATTAATAAACTCTTAACAGATTATCAGTAACACATCAACAACATCTCAGTATATTACTTACATTAAGTAGACGTAATGTTAATATGTTACTTCCATTATGCAAAACCTAACCTTACCCAACCTTAGCTAAAACCTAACCCTAACCCTGGCCCTAATCCTAACCTTAACCTTAACCTCAACCTCAACCCAAAACCTAAATCCTAACCCTCATATGTTTTTGACATGTTACTGAAAGTCTGTTGAGTGTTTGTTTTATCTAAAAAGGAAGACTTGAAATAAGGTGTCACCCCAGCTTTGCGTAAAGAATCAGGCTCATACAGCCTCATTATTTCGCAAGCTTGATCTAGCAATGCTGTTAGATGAACCATACTCAGAATTTGTGTGTAATTTTAGATAAGTACAGCTAACAATGCTTGTGAACTTTGAAGCTAACTACCTAATAGATGACTAAATTAAGCTGCAGTCAAAAATATTAATTGCCAGCATTTAAGCCATTTATGAATATTGTTTTATTACTGGATATCAGAATTGAACCCTTTCACAGATAAAGTTTCATTACTCAAATAGCCAGATTAAGCATTGCTGACTACCACACAACTCCAAAACATAATATATCCACCAACAGTTGGCAAGGTGTTCTTTTCATCAAATGCTGCTCCTTTTATTCTCCACACATACCTTTGGTGATGGTGGCCACAGAGGTCCATTTCTACCTCATCAATTCACAGCACCTGTTTATAAGATGCCTCTTATTGATCTAGACTCCATTTTGCATACTTCATGCACTCATGTAATCACAGATGAGGTTTCCTTTTGATGACTCTTTCATGCAGATCATGTTTGTGCAAGCTATGCTGCACAGTAGGACAGTGCACGACCACTTCTGTATCACCTAAATCTTCCTGTAGGTCCCTTGGTGTTATATTGGGGTCTTGATGTGCCTTCCCTTGCATTGTAGAAATTCAGTTTTACTGACTGCACTCTTATGCATTTTTTTCTAAATGCTTCTATTTTGTGGAAAGGCAATATGCATGTGTAGAATATATATTTGGATCACCCCACCTGTTTTATATCTAATTCCCTCTGACACTTCTTCTGCTATTCACTCACTCCTACAGAAAATCATGGTTCAACACAGCAAGTCTCATACTGTCTCTGTGTTTTGGCTGCACTTTGGCTGCACTCACAGCATGGACAAATTTCAGATTTAAACAAATTATTGCAACAGCTAATGTTTTAAATATTAGTCCCTAAAATAGAGGTTTTTAATTAAAAATGTACATCCAAGTAAAAATGGCAAAATAAGTGTCCATTTTAATCATAGCTGCTAATGCTGAGGCATTCTGCACTGCTGTGATGAGAGTCAGTTAAATCGCACCAACTCAGTGCTTTTTGAGCGCAGATGGACCAGCGGAGATGAAAGCTGGGGATAAACCCTACAGCTGCCATTCAGATCGATGCAGCAGCCGCCTGCATGTGCTGTGATAAGTGTTGGGCCCTTCAGAGCTTGCTGGAGGAGAACTCCCAGGTTGAGCTCCAATTGAAAATACATCTCCTGGCTGAATTTTACAGAGTCAGTTGATGCTCTCAAAGGAACTTCACCTTAAAATTCCAGTATTGTGGAGAATTAATGAGAGCTAGGAGGGTAATGACATCTGGCTAACTGGTTCCCACTAGTTTTAATTTGCTGTTTGCTTTGGTGGTGTGTTCCAGAGAAATATTTAGCTTTTTTTTTTAGGTGATGGATCCATTAAGTCTCCTGCACTTCCCTACTGGGGTGAAGAATGCTCAAGTCACTTTCACTGCACACTTAAATCTGATCTCAGATTATTTTTCTCCACCAACCAATTCCAATTTCTGCGTTATTTAATTGCTAAGATGTAAACAACGTCATTTAGAGTGATTTGATACAAAATGGAGTCTTGTAGAGAAACTTACTGACTAGAATTTCTTTACAGTGGTGGTAATAGGAACCAGGGGTACAATGCCTACAGTACAGTGGAGATAATGGTAGAGTTGAATCTAAAAAAAATAAATGTTCTTTGGGTGCTGTTTTATTTTATGAGGCCTTACATATAACCAAGGCCAGACTGAGACAGTTGTTCAGGCCGGGAATCATTGCAGGACTCACAGGCCACACACATACTCACAACTGTTGTATCTCCATGTTTAGTATGGGTTTTTATATGCATGTTTAAGGTAATACAAAATACCCTCCATAACTGCCCACTCCTTAATGTCCAGCTCAGTCACCTAAACTGTTCCAGATTTTTTGATACACACACTTCATGGTGTACATACAGTCCTTGAAATATTGTACTTGAAATAAAGCTCTCTAAGAACCCAACTTTTAACAGGCTGTAAACACAAGTTATTATGCTTTCTACGTTTTTCTGTACATATATGCAAGTTACTAACAATATGGTGATCTTATTTCTTTACATTAATAAACTTTTTTTTTTTAATTATTAGGTAAACCTAATGAAAGCTGTACCTGGAGCTCTCTCTAAACCTGAAGGTGTCTCATACTCTCTTTCTGGTTGTGTACTGTATCTTCACCTTTGCAAAAAAAAAATAAATAAAAAAATGAAAACAAAAAAATAACTGTCAATTTAATTTTTGACAATTGTCAATTGTCAGTTTCTGAAGTATCTAGCACTATATAGCATCACCAAACAATGTATGCAATGCATACTGTGTGGCTCAGCTTTACATCGTGCCAGGATAAAAAAAAAGAATATTGTATGATATATGAAAAAAAAGCATCTAAATCAGATCCACACTTCATATAACGTATGCTTTTAAAACATCCATGAATGAGCAATTGTGCCTAAGTTTCTTTCATGCCAATCTCAATCATCAAGGCATATCTTCTGAAGAGTCACAAATAATCAAACTGCTACGTACTGAACTGCACTTTTAAGAGTATATATCCATATTTTATGAATTTGGGCTGCACAATGAAGCATCAAATAAGATTATTTAACTGCTAGTTAGCTAGCTACAAAACACAACCAAAGCATACCTAAACTAAACGAAATAGTTCTTACATGGCTGACCTGTCGCTCCTTTGCTGAATAAATCAGTGTTTTTTGAACACCTAGCAGCTTCTTCTTTGAGTACTTTTCTGTTTTTCATCCTTTCCCTCTCCGCGCCACCTTTTCTTTTCCTCTCCATTTCTTGGTGAGACACGATAAGCACAAACTTGCTATCTTTATTACATGCGTGCGAGCGGGTAATGAGTGTTTTTTACATGCTACGTCACGACAGAAAGACGTGATTTGCCAAAAATGACTGCAGAGACAGCGTGTGTTCACAAGCTGTACTGTGTGACATCGTCTAGCCAGGTCGTCCAGGCAAGCTGACAGGCCAGGCAAAGGGGAAATCTCCTGTTTCTCCTGATATGCATGCCGTGAATATATTCAAAAACTACATTTTAGGCCAATTTTATTTTATTTTATTTGATTTAAAAACCAAAGCCATTTTATGTGAAGTAGCTTTTGCATGCATTAATCTCTTCAGATGTCTGGTTCCTATTAACACCTCCGTGAATGATTCTGACTCAGCATGTCTCTAAAACGAGGTACTTCACACCACACCACTCTGAATGACTTTGTTTACATCTTAACCACTAAATGCAGAAATGTTGAGAAATCAGTGGAATTCTCTTTAAGTTAAAGAGCAGGAAATGTAAGTCTGGACATCCATAACAACAACAAACAGAGACAATAAACATGCTTCTTTGGAGTCTGCCACATCCAGACCAGTACAAACCAGATTCCTCTTTAACTGAATTCCATGCTAAAAGTGTAGCAAATCCAGACGTCTTTGAAGAACTTAGGACATCTGGAACAGAGATTGGATGGGCACATTTGATCAGATTAGTTCCAAAGTTCATGGATCAGTATCATCTTAGCCATTCCACAAAACAGTCAAATTTGGCAGACTTGCGAGACATAAGCCACAGCCAAAGAATATAAAAATCAAACAGAGCTCCCTTAAGGAACATGACATCAAATACAGCAACAAATGTGAAACTTTACGACAGCTAGGCTCAAATGCAAAGGACCATGAGCAGCAATTTACACGCAGCATGCTTTCTGTATAAAACCACAGTGCAAAGGCACAGACTTAATGATAGAGTAGTGCTTTTCAAATGAAATGAATCGAAAGTCACTAAAGATAGAGAGTAAAGATGGTAAATTACAGAGTACCGTCTTCTTAAGTCTGCTAAAGCTTTGGAACAGAGGAATTCCTACCTTTCAGCTATGCAAAGACCCCAAAGCACGAGGCAAAACACAGGCTGTAGAGGATTCATTGGAGAGAAATTTGCATCCTCAGTCGGCAGAGTTGTGAAAGAAAATCTTTGTGAAAAGAAATAAGAACCACTGGTCGTCAAACATCACTACCACAGACTGCTATGAAAACTTTACAGAGAGGTAAGTACTTTTTCACGGTGCATAGTCAATTACAAAAAAAACTCTGCATGTCTTGCTTTTATCTCTTTGAGATGAGTCAAGCTCTGCTAAGTGCAAGGTCAGTCTGGCTCTGTGTGATGTGCTGAGTTTGTATGTTAGCGGGCCCTCTTGCCAGAATTATGACTTTGAGGTAAAAAGGTATAAAGTTGAGTAACTGCCTGCCATGAAAAGTGAGTCAATATGTAACTTTGAGGGCTCACACATCACAGTTGTTACACACCATTTAATTCTGCACTGACTGTTGTAAAACACACTCTACGAGGTATAACACAATGGTGTAAAATTCCACAAGTTTTTGAGGATGTCAGTGAGAGTATATGAGGAAACAAGTTCGTTTACTACATGCAGTGTGTTGTGCAGTCAAGAGTTTTATGCACAAGTTTTAATCTGGCTTACTGGCAGAATTCACTTCATTATCCCCAAAATATGGCTGTGGGCTCATACTACTCCTTTTTTCTGCTTGGTTAGAAAATCCGGTAATTTAGTGTGCAAAAGATTTTTTTGGAACACCAGTGCGCTCTAAAAACTAGAGTGTGTAGGATTCATTTTTGGATGCTAGATTCCAGAACTGGTGAAAGCCTGTTTCTGCCACTGGAAAAAAAGATTTTATCATAATAATGAGATCCTATCCCACAATTATGACTTACTATCTCATTATAATGACATTTCATATTTATGACAGTATCTAACTGTGACTTGCATATCATAAAATAAACATAATTAAGCTATTGGGTCACTTAAAGCAAAAGGATTTTAGCCTAAAGTTCAAGTCAGTCAAAATTCCAAAATATGTTTTGAACTTTGAACCAGGTTAGGTAGAATGATTCATATTTCTCTGTATGGATCTCAAACTCAAAAGTGTTTAACATAGACATTGCTGAGGATTATTAGAGAGATCATGATGGAGAAGACTGCTCATTCCCTCCAGGTCATTGCAGTTTCTTCACTTGAAATGTGCACATCATTTCTTTCAGCTGACAGTAACTGTGTGGATGTAAAATATTTTATTAATGTGGAAATGATGAACACATTGCAATGAAGTGAATTCAATGCACTGTTTTTTCTTTTTTCAATATGAACATTTGGACCTTCTGAAAATTGGCCTGGAGAATCCCTCCAAGCTGGCTCCACAATAAGGACTTGCATGTTAAATTATAGATTCTGTATGCAGTGTTCCTTCAAAGTGGGCGGCCGAGCTGTGTCCCACATATCGCTTTGAAGTGCTGGATTACCATCCGTTTAGCTGATAAAGGTGTTTCAGCGCAGAGGGAGCGTCTCCGTTTTGGGGGAGCCCCCACCCCCGAGGTTCGCCCCGGGACACTAACCACCTGCCAGCACGGTCTGATGAAACTCAGCGTGATACATTTAAGGAGGATCCCCTATGAGGAATTTGGGGTGTTGTATTATTCAGCAGTAGAGGCTGAGAGAAAAGGCCCTGTGCTGATAAGACAGGCTAGAGAGCTTTTCATTACAGACATAAACACGATAAAAGCATGAAAGAATTCTACACTGCTTCATAAGTGGTTAAGTGCATTACGTGGGAAAGTTTTTTTTTTCCTCTCCATCGCTTCTACCTCATTAAAGCAGTTTTGATCATTTTGTCTGCAGTGTTTTGCCTAGCGCTCTTAGCATAGTCACATACACATATGCCTTTTTTAAAAGACTCGTTTTAATGATTCACAAAAAGAACAATGCATAACACATTAGTACCACACTCCCATGCGTCAAAGCACTGTGTGAATAGCATTAATATCTAAACATGTAACAAAACAGCATGCATGGTGGGAAAATACTAACTGTGCAAATTACAACTTGGCAATAGCAGACAGCCTCTGGAGGAAAATACTGTATACACTGTATTGTCCGGGTAATGTTTAAAGTGACAAATTACACTGTCCAATGTGCAACATTGGAATACTGGAATAAATGAGTAGGTGCTACGTTTTGGCTCCTCTAACATCTTTATGCTGTGAAAAATAGGTGACAGAAAATCTCCCTAGACTCAAACAGCGGAACATGTGGAAATCTGTGTATGTGCGTACTGAATGCATGGACGCAGTATTTTGCGTCAACAGTCATTATGTCATACGCTCTGAACTTAATTTAAGCAGACAAAATGTTGTGCTGCTCTCTAAAAGATTACGGCAATCTAATACCTCGACTCAAATGACATATTGTTGGATGTGACAAACATGTAATAGATTGCACCAAGAGGGTATTTTTAAAGTTACATTATTCATATACCCAGCACTGCGTGCAGATTTGTGCAGGAGCGGCTAAAGGTTGATAAAACGTCCCTTGCAGGAACACGAGACGGACAGCGCCTGGCAAATGGCTCTAATTTTGTGGGTGAAAATAGATAGGGATGAATAACTAAATGTCTGGCACAATTTTTCTTGCCGTGACAGCTCTCCCTCTGGGCGTTTTCCCTTTTACATGCTCTGTTCAACCTTTTTGGAGGTGGGAAATCTATTGAATTTCAATTTCTCCTTCTGTGGGGAAAGAATACCCTAAGGTAGAATATTTGACACAAGCACATTCCTGGAATAAAATGATATCTATATCAGGCTCCGAGAGATCGCGCCAGGGCAGGAGAGCCTTCCAAGCACCCCCCGAATATTCTGAGAAAAGGCCATTAGATATGAGAGTGCTGGCAAGCTGTGGAGATGAAAAAGACATAAATTGTAGTTACAGTTCCACTTTGAGATAAAGGATAAAGGGGGAAGAAGTGTGTGGGGGTGAGTGAGCATGTTTGCGTGGTTAGGCAAGAAAATAATGTGGCAACTTCATTAGAAACCCCTGCCCTTCACCTTTCTGGTGTACAGTTAGCCATCCTCTAGTCCAACTGTTGATGGACAATATATTTTGGCCATGGAGACGCTCTTGACTGGATGTTTTTGGGTGGTCGACCACTCTCGATCTAAGAGTGGTGCTGATGTATATTAGCAACATTGCTGTGTCTGATACTTATACTAGCACCACAAACACTACCATCTCAGTGTTACTGTTGTGCTGAGAATGCACCACCCAAATAAAATTGAAAAAAAAAGAACAGCAGTCCAGTAGTCAGAAACTGACCAGGTGCTGAAAAGGTGCTGACAAATTGTGCAGCAACAGATGAACTGCAGTCTGTAATTGTACATGAAAATAGTCAACCTGTAAGATAGGTGGACAAACCAACATTTTACAATGTTTTACAAAAGTAAACCCTTTCAGTTTTACTAAAAAGCTGTCAGGTTCAACTCAGCTTCAAATAACAAGCCTCAGTATAGAAAAACTTTCAGTCTGGGGGTGGAGAATTAAAGTGATACAAGCAGTAAATGCTGTGCTTAAGTGCCAAAATAACTTAAAAGGGTTGGTTACCCTCCTAGAAAAACCAGCCTAGACCAGTATGGCTGGTTACCAGCAAAACCAGCATATGTTGTGTTTTGGTTGCTGGTATTTGCTGGTATGCTGGTCAGCATCAATGAAACCTGATATGTTGTTCTCCAGCAAAAAAGCACATGTTGTATATCGCATGCTGCTAAGCTGGTCAACCTGCATGACCATACTGGGTGACCACCTAAACCAGCACCAGATCAGCACTAGACCAGCATGGAATGCATGCTAGCTAGCATAATAACTGAAGTTTAAAAGGAATTTGACCTGTAACTCACTAAAACTTTAGACAGATTAGCTGACAACTTTAGTTGTAATAGCTATTGCACTAGCTAGCATAATTGCTATCCAAACTGCATGCTGATCAACACTGAAGTTGTTTTGCCTCTTTTCTTTAAACACTGCATTTACTGCCTGTAGCACCTCATTCTGTCCATCAGACTGAAGGTTTTTCTATAATGAGTAATTTTGTTATTTGAAGCCATATTGAACCTGATGCTGCTGCCAGCTGCAGGAGAACAGCATTACAGTAATAACTGAGCATGACTGTATCAAAAGTGACAGACAAGGTCACACATGTAAGGTTGGATATGAAAGGCTTCATTTACTGCACTAATATGGGCGGTCCTAATCAGTTTTATTCATGTTTCTTACTCGGGTTGAAATTTCATGCGGCGTAAGTCTCGAGTCTGAGTCATTTAAGGACGCGTGAGAGTTGAATCATAACCTCTGGTGTAAGTGGTCTTCGTTTTTAGTCTGGTGTCCCTGCTGATTAATGTTCCAGCTTCACCGGGTAAGTTAACGAGCACATCACAGGGTGTGTGTTTGGGGTCACAGCCTCATTTCCCTCTCGAGAGAGACAGCAGCACACACAGTGCAGTGAAGAACCTCACATGCTCTCACTCTGTCTGAAAACTCTCTCCCTCCCTCTCTACACTTCACATTGTTCTTTGCTCTGTAGTCATTTGTCTCAGTCAAACCACTGAGACCTAATCATGCAGCTCCTGAGCAGGAGTTCGGCTCCTCCATGCCAGAGGAACCCAGAGAACGAGCAGAGCTGACTTTAAGCTGCTTTTACAAGAGAATCCATCTGTGTTGTATCAACTTCTCAACGAGAGCTAATCCTTCACTTTCTACTCATGACCTGAAAAAAATTGCAATTGCAGTAGTGTGAATGGAAAGTGGTTTTAGACTGAAGAGTCTACGATAGTGCTCCGATTTGCCTGTTTGTCCAGCCAATCAGTACTCGTGAGAACTTTTATACAGCCAATAATTGGATTTACACAATTTTCCTTATACTTCAAAGGTAACCGATCAGGTAATGTTTACTTTCTCACAGGGATACAAAATACTTAAGTGATTGTTCATGAAAAAAAGGCCAAAAGTAAGGCTTCATCCACATAAGCAAGTCTGTTTGAGATTACACAACAACTGAAATGATTTAAGGCAGTTTTATGATCTATAGTTCATAGAGACAACACATCATTCTCTGGTTATATCACAGCAGATCCTCCATTCCTGTTGACTTGAATGTA